GGTTGCCCTCAGGAGACCATGGAGCAACAAACTGGGTAACACTGGTGTGTTGGAAACCTGCTTGGTTTCTAACCATCACTGTTCTCTTTGGCTTTGTGTTTTAGTTTTGTTAGAGAAATAAAACTTGTAAGAGAAATAAAATATAAAAATAGATCCTTGAGGTGCCTTCTGACCTGATATTCTATGATTCTCTGTAGATTACCACATATGCTTTTAAATCTCTTTCTGTTTTTCTTCTCATGTTTCTTAAACTGTCAGTCCCGATGTTTGCTAAATTGTGATGAAGTAGAGTTGCCATGTTTTTCAGGAGTGGGGTTGGCTATTTTATTGTTGTGTTTATAGATATTAGTCTAAATAAAGAAAAGCAGAATGCTAGTGGTGCAAAGGCTCATGGTCTTTGTTAACTAGAAATTGACCAGTAAAGCTTTAAAGGTGACAGGCAGTTTTTCAAGAAACTATTGAAAGTGGCAAAGTTTAAAAGACTGTCTTCTTGTTATACACTGGGCAGCATACCTAGATCTGCATTTGTAATGTTCTGTGGTGGATGCTACACATTATGAGTGGGGAAAAAAGCTTCTACTGGTTACAAGAAGGTCTTGTATTCTTGTTGCAGATACACATCTCTTTTTCTTCATTGCTTTTGAGAGTTGAGTGTTCATTCAGAGAAGTCACGACTCCTATAAAAGATGTCCTAAGTGAAAAAATGTGTACGTATTTTGTATGTAATATGGAAAATCATTTGTTTCAGGTACTGAGCAGTATAGTGAGTATACAGGCTATGCAGAAACATACCGGTGGGCAAGAAGCCATGAAGATAAGACCCCAAGGTAAAGTTCCATGTAGATATTTCAAGTGAAGGAATAAATGAACATTATAAATTTGAAAGCTTAATGCTTTTGTGTTTACTAGGATATGCCTTAGTAGAGAATTTGACTGTTTGATCCTGCTATCTTCACTAGAGCCAACAAGCTAATAAAGTTCTCATATTAATAATGAGATATTAATGCTAATAAATGGTACCTGCCAATATGTCAGGTCTTAAACCAACAACATCTTTTACAGTTACATGTATTTAATACAACTTTTTATTAAGATACTGACTGGACTGTGGATTTTAATGTCACAAAAAGTTTCGCAATGATACCTCAGGTGCTACAGTGCAGCTGATGTGTGCTGCACAAGACACAAGATTTGTTATCATGAGTATCATGTTATCATGAATTTTTATACGCAAAATCATTCCTTTCCTATAGAAACATACACAATGTGGTCTCATGTAAATTTTGGGGGAAGACAGAGTCAAAGTGCTTTTCTCTGACCTTGCAGTCTTCTTAATACTTAACAAATACGTACTTAATAAATAGTGGTGTGTAATTAGATTTGTTCCACATTTATGCACAAAGTCTAGCCAGAGTATTTCTAAATTCATAGGGAGACTGGTCTCATTTCTGATTCTCCTTTCATTCCAGACCCACAAAGAAAAAAAAGTCCTCCATTGTTTGTGTGAGCGCACCTTTCTAACTGCTTCTAACAGAGAAGCTCTGCCAGGAATTGCTCATTTTGGATTGTGATTGTATGGCCAATGGAAAACAACTAATGTAATCTACTTTTCTCCTCCCTCCAATTTTAGGGATGAGTGGCAGCGACGCTACACTGAAATTGTTGCTATAGATGCATTTCACTTCAGGCGTTTCCTTGATCAGTTTGGTCCAGAGAAAATTAGAAGAGAGCTCAACAAGGCCAGTAACTTCTTACCATGATCTGCAGTCTAATGTTTATAGTAGCTTTTCAGATGTTTTTGTATTATTATCTTCTGCAAAGGAGATTCTTGCTTAGTTGTGTCTCTCATAAAAGGTATACTTCAGGATTTTGCTGTCCAATAGTAAAATAGAAGCTTTTAAAACAGAATTATTCTTATCCTTTGACATGCCATTCAAAGGTGAATTTTGTTTAACTTTCAAAATGATAAATGAAATTTGGATATACATGGTATTAACTCTTCCCTGTCCTGCTTTTAAATTATTATTTTAAGTTGTCTTCCCATGATTGCCTCAGCCCTGCAGTCAAGGTGAAAAAGGAGATGCCTCATCTTTTAATACGTGACAGTGCATAAATATGGTGCCATTTTTCTTCCAACTTTCTTCTTTGCTCTTGGAGTATTGCCATATCACCTGGGAGTTTATATTTTCGTATATTGATGTCTTCTTGAGATCAGATCCACCTATTCATGAATCTTCTATCTTTATTTGCACAATATCTGTAAGGTCTGTTGCAACTGAATATGTGTATGTATTGCATGCCAGTTAGAGCTTACAGTGATGGGTGTGTTCAGAAAACTGATAAATCAGGCCAGTTTTAATCCTTTAAACAAAACTTTCAGACTGACATTCAGAAACCACACACTGCCTACTAATAATTCTTAATCACTAGTAGTTATTATCACCATGTATTCAATGCAGCCTGTGTTAGCTGTATGCAAAACTGCACTGCCCCAATTGCTGTGTGGTCCTTGATAGTCTTAGTCATCACAGTTGCCATGCTGAAGAGCTCTGACAAGGGAAGCTGGAACTGCAGTGGGCATCTTTTTTCTATCCCCTGCCCTCCCTAATTTAACATCTTGTTCTTAAAAAAGGTATTTGAGTCTCTAGATGGTTCCCAGCCCTCGGTTTCCACCCTGGATTGTGTGTTGCATAATGTTTGGGAACATGGAGTTACTTTCCCAAGCCATGGCAAGCGCTTTATTATATTGCATGGCTGAGATTTTAATGTTACTTGTTTTTCTTCTTGCTCTGCTGCCATTTATTTCCTTGCAGTCTGTTCCCAGCTGTTGAAATTGTACTCTTTCAAAGATTAGTAATTGCCATCACTGAGCTGTTCATAGTTCTGAGCTTTCAACCTGTGCCAGTGTTTTCAAAGCCTTTGCTGTTATCCCATGCATAAATTGTGTCTCCTAACAAGAGGTGCCTGGTATCAATCTCCAGTTCACATGGCACATTCTCAGAAGTTAAGAAGGCTAGTGGGCCAGAATGAGGGCCTTGCGTGGCTCATTTAAGGCATAGATAGTGAAAGCTCTGTGGCCTATTATAGCAGTGACAATGCTATTTTTACTGGACAGTTGAGTACAAGAACGATTATACAGTTACACTGTCTTTGTGTGTGTGGTTGGGTTCCAGACATGCTGCTGCTGAAGTGGTGCTTCTACACCGACTGGTGCATCAGGCCTCTGCTTAGCTAGGGTGTCAAATGTAAGGGCCCAGCACTAACATTGATAACTTTTCCTGCTTTCTGTAGTATAGGGGGCTTTAGGATAATACAGGATGCATTTTTAATAAATTCAAACATAAGGCAGTATGTTCCCAATTCTCAGCTGGAAAGGGAATAAACCTGAAAGCTCTTTTTTTTTTTTTTTTTTTTTTTTTTTTTTTTTTTTTTTTTTTTTTTTTTTTTTTTTTTTTTTTTTTTTTTTTTTTTACCCTCCCAGAAATGCTGCACAGTCTTGAAAGAAATGAAATTGTTATAAAGCCTTAGCATCTTAACTAAAGTAACATTTATCAGCTTGTTTCTTTGTGGTTGGTAATGAAATTAGCCCTGACAAAGACAGTAAATAAATTTTTAAACTTCAGTGATGTCTTAGTACAAAATTCAAATCACCTACTCTAGTGAATTGATGATCTGCCTAAAATTTTCAATATTATTGATTAAGTTTGGATTTTTAAAATAAATTATCATAGATCCATGCAACTTTTTATACAGTGTCAGTTTGACTGATGCTGTTTGAGGACTCATTGGTATTTTAAAAAATATAATCCTGAGTTAATTCTGTGTTTGCTACAGCAAAAATGTAATTAAGTTTGTTGGAGGTTCTATAATATTTTAACAAATCAAATTTTTTTTTGGTATACTGTGGTGGGTTTTTTCAGTTTGATTAAAAATTAATGTTAACCTTAAGACCTTTCTGTTGGTGAAAGCAAGTTGATGGAAAACCTGCAGCTCTATTACTGTTATGATTGAATAAATCAGGACTCAGTAAGCTCAGTATATATGCATAGAGGCTTTGAAACTGTCATGTATCAGTAGATGCAGCTCAGTGTCCAGAGGTTCTTTTGTTTGTCTGTTATTTTGTTAGCCCTGTTCCTACATGAAATCTATTTCAAATATTGGTGCATTGTCTCTTTTTTTTATATATAAAAAAAAAGTGATTAGGTTGTGGGATTTTTGCTATGAAAAGTCATAGGGGAGCACTTAGATATTTGTCTTCATTGCTGCTGAAGTCCTTCCAAGTATTGGGTGATTTTCTTACTATGTCTGATGAGACAGTGTTTGTTCTCCATATCCTGGTGGGTTGAGAAATAGGTGCCCATTAGGTAAAAGCTGAAAGATAACAGCGTCGCGTTGCAATACCAATCCTGTTTCCTGCACTGGGAGAGTGGAGTTAACAGAATGATTGTCCCTGCAGCCAGAGTGCTAGCTTACTTGACCAACTAGTTTTGTACAAACTTGCTTTGGACATTAAGCACACCAGTAGCTCTGACTTGAAAGAGCTCAAGAACCTGCATGTATCTGATGAAGTCTAAATTTTCAGCTTAGATCATATTTGAGTGGAACTGTGGGTTCTTCAATCTGTACCAGAAAATTGGACAAGATGAATGAATTTTTGTACTGTTGAAAAACTTCCAAAGATATTTGTCCTTTTTCTCTACACATGGAAGCACCTGCCTTTACTCCAGATTTCTTAGTGAATATCACACTTTTTTCTCCCACTTTTATTTGTTTTGTTAGACATGTATTCAAAGATGACATTTTGTTGGGTTTTTTTTTTCAGTTTTGAGGAATTTCAGTAATCCTGGACACAGCAGTTCAACTGCCACGTATGCTAAATGGGCAAAAAAGCAGCAAACATCATATAATCTACTGTTAGTTATTCTCTGCTCTGGCTATCCTGAAAATTTTTATGAAATTCTTTGAATTCAGCACCTATATCTAATTTTTAACTTGAATCCAAATAAGGCAAAACTTGCCTTTAATTCTCTAGTGAGTGACTTAACTTTAAAGGAAGAGTAATGGTGTATTGAGGTAGTTTGCATCTGGTCTTGCTAGAAGACAATACTGAATACTGTTATCACTATATTGCCTGTCAGTTTCATCTTCTGACTCTTGTCTGCCTGCAGGCCTTCTGTGGCTTCTCCCGACCCAATGTCCCACCTCAACATCTCTCTGCAATAGCCACAGGAAACTGGGGATGTGGTGCCTTTGGAGGGGACTCCCGATTAAAAGGTAAATTGTGGCAATTCACTAATGTCCAAAGAATCAAATAACTTAGATTTTGGTTCTTGGCCTTTTTTCTGTTTTTTTCTAGTGCTTTTTTTTGTTTGTTTGTTTTGTTTGCATTAATACATTTTAGCCAAGAATTGGAATCATAGTTAAACTGTTCATGGAACTATTTTATTAGCTTTGATATTTAGGCTGTGGGTACCATGGCCTTAAACAATAAAAATGCATGTGGCTTTTATATGCTTTTCAGTTTAAAGTGTGAGCTAAGTCTGTGTTGGTGAAATGGGACCTGTAGCACTGAAACCTTCAAAATCACCAACACGCAGTATCAGCTCACAAGAGAATGTTCACTGCAGTTCTTAGTCATATAAATAAGCTGACATTTCTGGAGCAATCTTTTTAGTTTATGCTTAAAATTCATATATCTGCAAAGCTGTTTACCTGGTATTTTACAAGGCTTCCCAAACTTGCTGGCAATGCTTAATGTTTAGTTTTGCTCCTTAATATATTGCTGTATGTCAGAGAGATTTCCAGTCACTCAAACATGCTTCTTTCTTGCCTGCCTGCCTGCAATATCACTCACTTTCTCATGTTCTTTTATTTTAATTGGAATATTTATAATGTGGCAGATATCACATGCCTACATTTATTTAAGAATTTTCTCCATCAAGCCAAGAACTGATGGATCCTGACATTTCAACTGATAGCCTGATTCATATACTTCTAAGTAGAAATTTACATTTTGTTGTTTTCAAACATTTGGAGAGTATTTTAAATCTGCTTTTCTCAACAGCTTTAGGTGCTTACATTGGGACAAACCATTATCAGTCTATCGGCTTCATTAACTTTCTTTCTTAATGTGTTTTATTCATTAAGCATCTATTTTTTTCTCAATGCTCATTGATTTTCTGACAGTTCTGTTTTTATTTCCATCAGATAAAATGGGCTGCCAAGTTCAGATCATCAGTATCAAAAGTAGCATTTAATGCAGGATCTGACCATACTTGATTGTAGGAGTGTTTAATAAATGCTTTGATTTGCATAAGGACTCCTCTTGCATCTGAACTGTAGTAGCCAATGTATATATTTTTAATGTATGGGTTTTGGGTTAAAAAATGGCTCTTTTGATCTAAGCTATTATTCATCCCTGGAAATGACTGCAGCGCCCAAGGCACTTTGCTGAGATAGCGTGTGAGAAAAGGCTTTGATGTAGACAAAGAGATGAGCAGTGAGATGTGGTGCTTTGTAACTTTGATACATACAAATGCTTTAATGGTCTATCAGTTTAACTTCATATTTTAGTTTGAGCTTTCATTTAGGTAACTTTTTCTCTGGTTTTGGATCAACCTTAATTTTTTTTCTTTTTTCTCCAAAATCTGCAAAAATTAACCAATATTAGCAAGTTACAGCACTGCTGCTCTTACAAAAAATTAATCTAAATCTATGTGTGTACTCTCAAGTCTTCTGTTCTTTTGACAGACCTTACAAATACAGGCACTGGTTTCACTTGCACTTGATTTATTCTTTTTGTAAGCTCAGCTTAATTTCTTAGTTGACTCTGAAAAATCAATATTTCATAAAGAGAATTAAAGGACAGTGACTTGCTATCAGGTATGGAACTAGTAATTTAGTATGGGATGTTTTTCCTTGAGCTGCTGCTGACTAGCAACAGGATGGCTTAATTATTATTTTTTTTTCTTAAACTATGAGCTATGAAGAGTACAGTAGTTTGTCATATGTGTTTTTGTCAGAACAGAACTATATTTGATGTGTGATAACCAAATGAAGTCTTCTCTAGTTCACAGATATTACTGTGCATGGACTAAGTAATCCCTTTTTTGGTAGAATGCTGTATGGGGGTAACAGCCCCTGAGCTGTTAATTCTCCCAATGGTTTCACTTCATTATAAGCAAATTTCTTACAGTGGAAAATAATCTTTTACACTTCAGAGGGAGTCATAAATTCTTCATTACAGAATGTTTTAGAAAACTGATATCAGTATCACAGTTTGACAGCTTTTGTTGACTATACAGGCTTGACAGTATATTCCAATGACAAAATAGTTTTCATGGTTTAAAATCTTGCTTTTTCATTTAACATTCTTAAATACAAACCCTTGTTCTTTCAGAAGTAGTATCTGGATCTGTGACAGATTTAAGAACTACCAAAGTATTTAATAAGATAGTATATAACTGGATAAGCACCATAATGCATAATATTTTTTTTTGTAATTAATTAAAGAAACATGATTGTATATAAAATATGGTTTCACTTAAGTTCACAGATTATGCAAAAACTAAAGTCTTCTTAAGGGAGGAAAAATATAATCTGGCTGCATAAATTAAAGACCTAGTACATAAAGAAAACAGATCCACCTAAGTTAGGAATATTTCCACAAAATTTTAGTATAAATTTAAGAGTTTCAATTCTGAAGAAAGTAGGTTTAAATAACTGGCAGAAGTTGGAAGATCTTGTATTTTAAAACCAGAGGATAATTTAACTATTATTAGCTACACTACTGTCTAAAGATTGGAAAAGTGTTGTTTTATTGAAAATGCAAATGAAATTGTCTGATGAGACATCTCACAAATGCATAAATGTAACTTCTGACAATTACGAGGAAGTATTCTCTAGCTGAACACTTATCTGTGAAAATGAAGTTCAGAAGGGAGGCTGCCATCAGTTTTAGGAAGACCCTTAGAGGATTTGTGAAGGGAAAAGCGTGTCTTGCTTTTGTGTGATCCTGAGTTGCTGCTGTGGCAGCACTGCAGCTATGAGCTGCACAGCAGGCATGGGAGGTCTTCTTGGCGGGTCCCTGCTGGCTCTGCTGCAGCCACCTCTGCATTTTGGCTGCACTGCCTCAACAGTACTGCCACAGGGGAGTGCCTGGAGATAACATCCTTTCTTCTGGATAAAAGGGACTGAGCATGTAGGGCCTGTGAGGATAGTTGGGTCCCCAAAAGGATTTTTGTTATGTTTCTGTCACCCTCACTGGGTAGTAGAAGGTGTGTCTGAGCCGCCATCCCTTCAGGTGTGAGTTCAAGAGTTAAATTGGATCACATCAGCTGGATGCAAGGGGCAAGACAGCCCAGATCCCTCCAGAACCCTGTACCACAGCCTAAATTCACATTTACAGGAAGTTTCACATCATATCATATATCATTAATGCCCAGAAGATTGTGAAGCCTAATTCTTGACAGAAATTTTTATCCTTATTTCATAAGATTCATAGCAATTCAAAATAAACAGTAGGATATTTTTAATATCTTCTGTAAAGTGAAAATGCATTGTTTGTTTGGAATGAATAATACAATTCATTAGGTTCTGTTCCCCTATGCGAGCTAGTTAATTAGACCCTTTAAAAGCTGAACTAGTGAAGCTTTACCAAATCCACAGCTGGTTCAGTAGTTTAATTAAAATATCATTCCCAGATTGAGATTAATTTCACATGTGAATCATGTAATTAATAATTTTAACTATGGGTTTACAATATTATTTTTTTAGTAATGAGTGCAGTATATTGTTATGTCTCTTAATGTGGAAGATTCTTGAACTATGAATGCCTTTCTATTTAGTTGCTACTGGTGGTGATGCAGTACATACACTATTTTATTTAAAATCAATCTTTCAAAGACAGTAACCTTTTAATTAACTCTATTGGGTAGAAAAGGAAAGAATTAATATCAGAGCTGCATCCATAGGCTCTGAAATGAGGCAAGCTTCAATAGAATAAATAGTTGGTGGGATCGGTTATTTGAACTGTTGTAACATTACCTGGAATGAGCATGTGATTGATGGCTTGGCTTGCATTTGTGGCATACTTCTATAGTAGGAAAGATGGACGCTTTAAATCGTGCAGTGAGAGGCTGCAGGAACATAAATCTCCTCTTGGAAGCTAAAATTTGGGTCAGCTCCTGCTCTGTGTAGACTACCTAGTAAAAGGGTTGACCCTGTTCTTTCTGAAGGGTGGCAAATAATGAAAATTGTGTTGTGTCCCCACTCCGTGATCAGATGCAAACAGCTTAAACCAGGGTGTAAGATGGTGTTCTGTCTTCCTATGCTATTGCACACATTTGTTGGATAACTAATGGCTGTGTGCTGCCTGGGGGTTTATCAGGAAAGGAAGGGCAGTTGTCACTAGTGACTCCAGCACAACACTCTTGGTTGCGGTGCCCAGTATTCTTTATTTTTAAAGTGGAAATAATACATATCTACCCATTGCTCAAATTGCTTTGCAGCATTCACCTGGAGATGGGTGGTATGATTATTTGCTGAAAAATTAGGCTGTGTTTTTCCCTTCAGCAAATTGTTCTATCCTGTATTCATGTGTGCAATCTTCTTTGTTGTTTCAGCCTTAATACAGATATTGGCAGCTGCTGAGGCTGGACGTGATGTTGTTTATTTTACCTTTGGAGATGTGGAGCTGATGCGGGACATTTACAACATGCACACTTTTCTCTGTGAGAAGGGCCAAACTGTTGGTGAGCATAAAGACATTCTTCCATGCAGCAAAGAGACTTACTCATCTCTGTCAGTGGAATTTGTCCAATGAGAATTATTGTCATCAAGTCCTGAACACAAGCAGATGGGTCTTGGTATATTTGTACCTCCTTTTCAGAGTGGGGAACTCTTCTGATTCGGGGTCAACTGTGCAGTGGTGATCTGTTAGAAGACTTGTAGAACCCTTTTCTAATTCCCTTGGGAGGTACACTCTGAAATTCGGAAAATAGATGCATGTGGTAGACAGAAGGTTTGCAAAGTTTTTAATAAACCGAAATGCTTCCAAAAGGGAAAATCTGCTTTTGCATTCTTGATATTAATTTGTATTACAGTGGTTCTGGCTCGATCCTACAAGATGTGGTCAGATGTGTTATCCAGTAGCAGTACAAGAAAAGCAGTGTATCCATTGCCCCTTCATATTTGTTAAACATCTTTCATTTCTGGGGCAGAGGCACAAAACTAGGTGATTTGTAATACTTCTGTAAGCAATGTGTATGTAAGCCTACCTTTTGGATAGCTTGTGCAGGAAGCTCAGCAGAAAGTTGAGGGAGGCCACCTTGTGTTCTGGGCAAACTTGGATACAGTCACACCCCTGGTCTGTGGCTATCTACCTCCTCTTTCACTGCTTATTCAAAGAGATGTTCCTAGCCACTCTCTGTGTGAGCCTGCATTTCTAGTCTTCATTTGGAATCATATGTTCTTCATATCTGGCATGATCTTATGTGGTTTTTAATTATCTCTTTTTATCCTTAAGGGGACATTTATAGGCTGTTACTGAGATACTACAATGAAGAATGCAGAAGCTGTTCCACTTCAGGACCAGATGTCAAGCTATACTCTTTCATATACAATGCCATTGAGTCCTATGCAGATTCTACTGATGATGATGAAGAAAAAGGGTTGTGCTTTGAGGATTAAAATTATGTATTTCATCAGAATATTATCCTTCCACTGGTATATTGTGTGATTTGCAGGGTATAGTGTATGAATTGACTTAATATATATTGGCTGCATTGGTAGTAACACCCAAACAATAAAAAAAACACCTTCAAGAGATGAGATTTTTTTGTTTGATGGTTTCAGACGTGAAAATCTTGTTCATGTGTGGTCAGAGAAGATTTCTTTGGTAAATCTGGTTGGCATTATACCTTGTTAAGCAGGATATTTTGGTATATATTTGTATTTCAGTCAAGAGGTTGCTGAAAGACTTCAGAAAATTTCTGTGTATGCCTTTGCCTTTATTTTTCAGGGATTTTACCTAAATTTCTCATGTAAGCTTAGTGCTGGAGTGCAGACAGCCATGTAACTGCTGAGATGATGTTAGAGAGAAGCATTGTGATGATTGTTCTTACTGAAAATTGTCATAATTTGGTTACCTCCTTAAGACTGCCACGGTATCTTCATTGTTCTTATCAACTTTTTCATTCATGTAACTTAGTGTCTTGGGTTAAATTGTTTTTTTAATAACTGGTTAAAAATTGAAAGATTCTGGAGGAGCTGTAATGCATTTCACAACTACATTGTTCAAGCTTAGGAGTTAGCATGAAGCAGTAGAGAAAAAACAGGGATGGGAGGGTAGGGAAATCAGAAATGTGACTGAAGTTAGTAGTAGAGGGAAACAATTTTCACATGAAACTCTTCAATACTGTTTTGTTGGTGCTGTCTGTTGCAACATTGAACAAGGTCTTAGACACATTTAAGTATATCTGAAGTTTCTCAAGGTTCACTGTTGTTGGCAATATCATTTGAATTAAGGTCTGCTAGTTGTGTTTATATTGTCCTATCGGTTCTCTATTATTGCAATATAAACATCAGTGAGTATAAGATCCTCATGGGATAACTGGAGGAAATGGAAATCACTTAGAAAGCAGTGGGAGGAAAGTCTGCAGGCTGCAGATACGAACATGAGGTCTTGTCAGGAGTTTGCACAGTGTCTTTTTAGGCCTGGGAATGATAACAATGAGGAGGGGTTAAAAGGTGTGTAAAACCTGTGCAGTTGCTATCTCTGTGAATACCACGTTAGTGTTGCTGTAGTACATTAATAGTTTACACAGAACTGCAGATAACATCTGTGATAAAACTTTTCCAGGTCTATGTACAGGTCCAATCCAATGAAACACTTGTCTATTAGTAGTTTAAACCCAGTAAGTTTAAGCCCAAATTGCCAAGTGCAGCCTCTTGTGTGTTAGATGCTGGTCTGTCATGATTGCTATTTGCCATTTAGCAATACAAGTCAAAGCCACAGCAGGAAATGTAGTGAGCTTGGGCCTAGTAGCAACGAGTCCTTTTGGCTAATGTTGGATAAAACCTCTCCCAGCCTGAAACGCAGCACGGTAATTAAGTGCTGGGAGCTGTTGGCAGTCTGGCTTACAATAAAGCACTCCATGGGAAGCAGTAGCAAAGACTTGGGGTTATGTGCACACCTTCAGAGTATTGCACCTTTGCATAAATGCTAACTGCAGCTTGAAAAGCATGTTACTTGGAAGGTAACAGACACAGCAGTCCAAGGGTTTCTTCCTACTTTTCTCACCAGATGTAGTTTTCTCCACTCCTATCCATTGTAGGG